CGACGCCCCCTTGCCCGGGGCCCCAGCGGGGGAGTCGCTTGGCCAGCCGCGCCCTCCCTCTTCTCCAGGCCACGGGGACAGACCGGGTGGCGGGACTCGGCCTCGTCGCGGTTAGCCTGATCGTCTTCACCTACTACACCGCCTGGGTGATTCTCTTGGTACGTCCGTCTCCCGCGCTCGGCTCTCCCTCCCCTCCGTTCGATCTTGAGGGCGACCCCGCCCAGCGCCGTGTACGCAGCTGCCCAGGGCCTGGACCGTGCTGGCGCGTCTAGAGGCGCCGAAAGGAGGATGCCAGTGGTGTCCGCGTTTCGTAGATGCGGGAGCTGGGGCTCCGAGAGAAGGGTCTGGCCCGAGGCCTCGTCCTTAACCGCTGCAAAGCCCGGTTCCCGTTGGCCTTGCCTTTTGGCGGAGTTCTGGCCCTTCTGGTTCTCCTGCTGACTCCTGGGCTCGAAGCGGGCCTCAGGATCTTTTTCTCTCCTCCTCCTCCCCCTCTGCTCCCTCTCCCTTCTCCTTCTCTTCTCTCCTTTCTTTGTTTATTTTTTTGAGTTGGGATCTGACTCTATCGCCCAGGCTGGAGTGCAGTGGCGCCATCATGGCTCACCACAACTTTGACCTCCTGGGCTCAGACGATCCTCCTGTCTCAGCCTCCCATGTAGCTGGGACTACAGGTGTGCACCACCACGCTTGGCTAATTTTTTTGACTTTTTGTAGAGACGAGGCTCACTCCGTTGCCCAGGCTGGTCTCCAACTCTAGACTCAAGCAATCCTTCCAAAGTGCTGAGATTACAGGTGTGAGTCACCAAGCCCAGCCAAGACCTTTTTTTCTTGTGGGAAAATGTGTTGGTCATTGCTTGAGAAGTGCAGTGTGGGCCGGGCTTGGTGGCTCAACCTGTAATCCCAGCACTTTGGGAGGCCGAGGCGAGTAGATTGCTTGAGCCCGTGGGTTCGAGACCAGCCCGGGCAACTTGATGAGACCTTGTCCCTACAATAAATAAAAAAAGTTAGCCAGGCTGGGTAGTGTGCACCTGTAGTTCCGGCTACTTGGAAGGCTGAGGCGGGAAGGATCGCCGGAGCCCAGCAGGTCAACACTGGGGTGGCCGTGAGTGTGCCGCTGCACTCCAGCCTGGGTGACAGAGTGAGACTCCAACTCAAAAAAAAAAAGAAGTGCAGTGTGTTTGGAATGCAAAATCTTGCAGAATTTGATTTTCTTTGGAGAAAGAAAGCATGCATATAGGAGACCGGGAGCCCAACTTGGGGATTGCTAGAGGAATCCTCATGTCCCTTTTGGGCAGATCCCTACCACCATCCTAGAGCAAGCAGCAGGCACCCCAGTAACCATTATATGAATGAGAGAAGGAAACAGACCACGGCACTCAAAACACCATGGCCTTGAAGAAAAGCAAATGCGCCCCAGGGCTCTGAATGGGTATCCCCGTAGCCGCGGAGGTGGGATGTTTGGGCTTGGTGGCTGGCAGGGAGAGCAAGGCTCACCAGAGCTCTACCCTCGATGCCAGCCGTTCATCGACGGCCAGCATGTCATCCACAAGTACTTCCTGCCCCGGGCCTACGCCGTTGCCATCCCACTGGCTGCTGGCCTCCTGCTGCTGCTGTTTGTGGGTAAGTCTTCACTGCCCCCCTGGCCTGGGCGGGGCGTCTGGAGGGCCCCTCTTCTGAACACGCTGTCACGCTTGGGCATTTGCCATCCCTCTGCTTGAGGCTCCCTGCCCCAAGCTCCCCTGGGGTTTTCCTGTTCCTCCTCCAAGGCTGCCGGCCAGTAGCCCCTCCAGGCTTCCTGAGGCCGCAGGCCCTTTAGACTCCAGTGTCACGGCTCCCTTTTGGGGGCTCCCACCCCCATCATCAGTGTGCACACACCCTGATCCCCTCCCATTCTCTTGTCACCCTGGCTCCTAATTCCTACACCTCTGTCTCTTGTGGCTTCCTAGGGACGGGGACTGTGTCCCCCCCATTACCATGTCCTGTGTGCCCAGACAGCCTGTGGCACGAGTCAGTCAACAACCCGATGCCAGGATGAGGGCGTGGGTGGGCGATGGGTGCTGAGTGGACACACAGTGGTAGGTAGGTGGGCAGGGTGTTGACGGGGTGACGGACAGGTGGGCGGATCTTGTTCCCCTTGCCGTCTGAACCACCAAATGCAGCCTCTCGCTGGGGTTTGCTTAATGAACGCGAGTGGCTATGTGGCTTGGAGTGGATCCCTTGTCGGCTTTCTGTAGCATCTGTTGAATGAATGGGGAGCTTGGACGCCTGCCCCTCAGCTCCAGAACTCCCTTTCAAGACTGGCGAGATAAGCAGGCGCCCTGAGTGGATGCACGGCCCTGCCCACGGTTGCTCTGCCCTTTCCTGGCCTCCTGGCAGCGCTGATCCCGGGTCTTGCCTTTCTGTTCTGCACATTCCAGGATTGTTCATTACCTACGTGATGCTGAAGACCCAGAAGGTGACCAAGAAGGCTCAGTGAAGACCAGTGGGTGCGGCTACCAGCCCTTCTCTGCCTTCCCTCCAGGACAGGGACCAAGCATGGGAGCCTGCAGGAGCGGCCCAGGCACTGTGTGCCCCTCAAGCCTGGCTGCTCTGCCGACATCCCTGCAGGGTGGATCTGTTCAGGACTCACCCCTCCTCCCCTGCTCCCCCCTCCAGAAGCCGGGAGGAAGGAGCACCTGGAAGATTCCCTCACCCCCTCTAAAAAAGAGCCTGAAGGATGCTGGTCCTTCCCACCACACTTTCAGAGCCCTGTCATTTTTTCCCCCGGGTTCTACCATCTCGCCTCAGTTTCCCTCCTGTCACATGCTGATGTTGGCCTGATCAGATTCTGAGGCAGTACGTGACCTCTCACACCTCTCCCAAGTCCAGCTTGTCCACAAAAGGCAGCTTTTGTTAGCCTGACCCAGCCCCACCCCTACAAGGACTTCTGGACCTGGAAAACCTTGGGGAAGGACTGGCAGACTCCAGGACCACCACCAGGTCTCAGGGCAGATGCACGGAGCCCCCAGCTGTCCGATCTTCATGGAGGCCCAGTCCCCAGCCCCAGGGCTGGCCTGCTTGGGAGAGTGCACCAATAAACGCTGACTGTGTGTGTGTGTCTGTGCCGTCCTTACCAGAAGCCCAGAATAGGATGGGGCTAAGAGCTGGCCCCTGCTTGGTCTAGGGTCGGGAGAGTCTGGAGTATGCAGATGCACTGTCCCCGTGCTGGACACTGGGAATAAAGTGGGGACCGGGCCAGATGTGCTCTGGCCCAGTGGCACTCGGCTGGGAAACCAGTGGAGGCCCTGGCATGCCCTCTGCCACGTGCGCCTGGCTCGGCCCAAGTCCCTTGACCCTCTCTGAGCCCGCTGCGGGGAGCTGGGGCCACCCCACCGTCCCAGGCAGCCGGTGCTCTCCTC